TAGCGATGTGCCCTTCCCTCTCTGGTGTGTCCCCTTCCCTCCCTGATGACATCTCCACCCCTCACCAGTGATGTCCCCATCCCTCACTGCTAGGTTCTCTTCCCTTACCGATGATATCCCTGTCCCCATCCCTCACTGGAGGGTCCCCTTCCCTCTCTGGTGATGTCCCCATCCCTCGCCAGTGATGTCCCCGTCCCCATCCCTCACTGGGACACCTCCCCACCCCAATCCTACCCCTATCCCTCACCGGGATGGATGTCCTGGAAAAGTGATTTCCAGATGGTGTACTGCAGCGGGCCCATGTATTTGGAGGTGGGGAAGTCCTCGTAGGTCAGGTTGGTCTCGTGGATCTTCCCCTTCAGCCTGCGAAGGAGGGACGGTGGAGAAGAGGGAAGGAGACAACGTGGCAGGGACGCTGCTGTCACCGCGGTGCCACCCACCTCTCGGAAAGGGACGCGACGCCGGCTAGGAAGACGTGTTTGTCGGCTTCGGCCAGGCGTTCCTGGAGGATCTGGCTGCCCTCCTGCACCTTGCGGAGCTGCTGGCTGTAGCGCTGGATCTTCTGCTCGATGTCGGTCAGCGTCCGCGCCGTGTCCGCCTCCAGCTCCTCCAGCATCGCCTTCTGCCGCTCCCGCAGCAGCCGGTGCAGCCGCTCGAAAGCCTCCCCGATAGTCACCCGCAGGCTCTTGGCTGAGGACTTTTTTTGGGGGGTAGGTGGAGGTCAGGCACCCCCCAAACCTGGCTCAATGCCTCCATGAATCCTTAATTCCAAGAGGAGCCCCCACAGCCCTGTTAACTCAAGTGCTACCCCGACAGTCACACGCAGGTTGAGGATTTTTGGGTGGCAGGTGGAGATTAGGAACCCCAAAAACCTGCCATGACCCCTTCCTGAATCCATAATTCCCAAAATAAACTCCCACAGCCCCATTAACACAAATGATTCTGGATGCTGCAAGAACCCGAGGGTGGATATTTATCCCTATAGAAAACCTAAAGAAAATCCCCATCGCTGGCAGGGATGGAGAGAAAATTGAATCTCGCTGAAAGGTGAACCCCTGAGCAAGGAAAGGAGATAAAAGTAAATAAAAAATAATTTAAAAGATAAATAAAAGCAGCTCTGATGGAAATAAAAAGAAGGACGAGCAGCCTGAGAGGTCACTTCCTCAACCTGCTAGCAGATTTTGGGGTACCAGGCAGGAAAAAATGGGGCAGATTCATGAAACTTTTTTGTTTGAGCACTTAGTCCACAA